ATGTCAGGTTTCTTTCACCTTTTGCTTAAGAGTAGTAGGGATTTCTTGGGTTGAAACTGTGTTTTGATCGTGTAGTTGAAACTGATAATGAAATTTAGATGTTGTCTTGTTAGGGAAATGTAATTGTACTAAAGAATTTTATAAAGCGTGACCCGAAGAATACACTAGTGCACGGTGCATAAATATATTTGAAAGGACAATCTTACCCTTGGGAAGGGTTTCAGATTTCCAAAGTTAAAATGTGTGGCGGCAGAAAACTAAGAGGGACCTTTTGGTCATTTTCTCAAATCCCCGTCTTGAAGTCACTTGGGAGTAAAGTTTCTATTCTGACCTGCAGTTCACATGTGACGAGTGGTCAACGCCACGCGCTCGTTGGCGACCGCGTGAAAGAGAACAACCCAGGAAAGAGACCTCAATTCTAGTTTGTCGACGTGATAGTGACACCACGCTCGGTAACTGTGCGTGGAATTGAAATTAATCTCACCCAACCCGATGTATTTTTTTTTTTCGTATATATTTTTTAAAAAATTTATATTAAAAAATTATAAAAATATACATGTTTATTACAAATATTCTTATAATTTTAAATTATCAAATATTAATAAATGAAATTTATTGTTTATGTTATCAATAAAAAGCAATTAAGAAATATATTTAAATACAACATATAAACATTAAATAATAATCCCGTGCGCCCTTTACACAACTTATTACGGTGCAAACTACTGCCATGTCAGCAACTCTCCGTACTTATTACCAAGATCACCGTACACGTGTCCCCAAGGTGAAAGCGAAGAATTTTGTGTCTAGAAAGTATACGATCAAAAGGTCAGTTTGATTGAGGGATGCTTGCGATATTTTTTACTTCATCGCTAGCAAATTACCATTTGATACAACTAGTCTATAATATACAATTTATTTATTTTTTTCATGAAAAGTATATAATATATAATTATTAAATTAAGCCAAGAAGGCTAAAGGTATAAAATTTATTAAAAAAAAAAAAGAGGTGAAAATCTTTGACTGCTACTGCCTCCCTCATTTACTCCTCTTCGTCTATACTGCTCTCTCTCTCTCTTTCTCTCTCAAAAACCAAAGGTTTCTTCTCATGAACTCTTAAATTTTCAATCTTTCTGCTGCTATTGCTCTCAAATCACAGCTTTCCCTGATCTGGGTTTTCTCTGATTCTGATTTAGATAATCGTTTCTGATAACTTTCTCGGTCTTCTGCTAGTTTCACTATTCAAAGCCTTAGATAGAACCAAAAGTCTATCTGGGTATGGGAGGGTTTAATAGTTGCCTTCTTGATTGCTATTATCAGATTCTGTGTAATGGGGTTTTTTCATGAAAGATGCAGAATATGTATGAATATCTATTTTGAGGTAAGCTTTATTTCTCTTGTTGGATGTATCACAGAAGTTATATATATATATATATATGTTATTTGCAATGTATCGTGTTTATGGTGAAGATCAATGATTTTTTGGTTTCTATTGAGGTCTCAGGTGATAATGTAAATTCGTGCTTTGAATCTTAGATTCTTTTGTTGTTTGGGAAATGAGAAAATGACAAAATTATGAGCATCACTTCAAAAGAGAATGCTTAATCAGCCGAAGGAAGATGAGTAATGATTTGATCTTTGGTTGATTGAACTTGTTTCCTACTTAGCTCTGATTCTTGTTCATGTGGATTTGTTTAGGTTCAGAGTGGCTTGTTAAAATGCTGATTATTTGGTAATGCTTTTATTTTGTTTTCCAGAACTTGTACAAAAGCTTTCTGTTGAATCTGATTCAAATAAAAGCTTTCAGTTGAATGAATCTAATTCAAATGATTGAACTGGGTTCTTCTCATTCTTAAAAACTATAACGCTGTATTTGATTTAGAACTATTATATTCTTCTTTAATTCTTGCATCTTAATTATTTCATTTATGGAAAGTTGCTCATAATTTACATATCCAGTGCACAATGGAATAAACCCTACTTATTTCTTCGATTTCTCAATAATATGTTTACTATTCATACTGTATTTACAAATCTGATCTATAACTAGAATGTAGTTTGTATTTAAATTTATATTCTATATATATATTGTATTCCAGATAATGTTTTATGAAATTGAAATTTGAACTCAATTCAATGGAAGAATCATAAAAATAAAATCTTGAAATTTGTTGTTGTTTTCCCTATCGAATTCGTATGACAACATCGTGACAGCTGGCCGTTTTTCTAGCTTCTTTGGTATTCATTATCAACTTTCTTCTTGGCATTATATGAATTGAATTTAGTCCTTATTTGCTTAAGGTTGATTGCTTATTACTATTTCCATTTTGTTTTTGACAGTCAATGTTGATCTGGAACTTTGAACTCTGAATCAATCTACTAGAATATATCTAGATTGTTTGGTTGTTTGAAGTTTTCTTTCAAAGGGCTTTTAGACAATGGGAAGAGGTAGAGGAAAAGGGAAGAAGCAAAATGTAATTGCTTTGCGCGAGGATCCTGGAAGTGACGAGGAAGAAAAAGTTCCGGCATCCAAGAGAAGAGGAAGGCCTCAAAAGCCACTGGAGGATGGTATTGAAGAACAAGAAGAAGAAGTTGAAAAAGTGGACAAAGACGAAGACGATGTAAAAATTCCCATCTCTGGCAAAGATATGAAATTTCCGGCTGCTATAGAGAAGGGAAGAAAGAGGAAGAGGTCTATGCCGATAAAAAAGAATGTTGCTAAAGAAGAGAATGGAATCGGATCAAAATCCAGTGCAAATGATTCTCCAAAATCTCTTGGATTTCGACAAAATGGAAGCAGACGGAAAAACAAGCCTAGACGGGCAGCTGAAGCCGGAGTTAAGTGCAAATGAGGTTCAGGATACCTATTGCGATTTGCTTTTCATCACCAGATTAATCATGAAACTGACCAATCTGGCTATATTTGTGATCAAGTGTTTCTTTTCTTACTATGCTTTTTTGCTTTCTCCAATCTCTAAATTCCAATTTTCACAACTTGGGTGAATTTTGTTCGGAAGGTCTTGGATATTACATATTATATCTATGATCTTTCATAAATTTGTCACCACTGAAGTTATTTTGGAATCAATACTTAGAGATTCTTTTTCACCTTAGTAAAACTTATCTTACTACATTAATTCAGTTCGTATTGTTTTACTGTTTTATGCTCCCGGTAACATCTAATATATTTTCGGGTATATTAGTCTTGTTCTTTGTTGCATTGAATGTATTTTTCAACTCGAATGAGTCCTGGAAGAGAAAGAAGATCAGAGAAATTCCAAAAGGGTAGATTTTTATGATAAAATCCTTTGTTGGGTTCTGATGAATCTGTCTGTTAAAAATGAAAAATAGTTCGTAACTTGAATTTGTTCATTGGAAGTCTCTACTGCAACTATGAATTTTATATTTCATTACAAGCCTCTGGTTGCTTTTCCTATTGAGCAAAACCTTCTCTCAGGTGAAATCTCCTTTTTGTCAAGTATAGAGGAGTGGCTCAAATTTCTACCACCTCAAATCTTTCATTTTTGTTTGTTTGTTTTTGTTCTTTTTAAAATTTTAAATTTGTTTTACAGGCTATTTACTCATACATGATTGGACTTGTGATCTCACTGTTCTCTCCATTGTTACTGACATACTGGGACGGTGGCCCATGGCTTGCTCCTCTTTCTTAAATATATAAATCTATATGTATGTATGTATGCTTATATTTGCTATAGGGTCAGGATTTCAAAAATATATATGTATAGATGTGTGTATATATCTTTTTCAGATTGGATTTGTTATAAAAGAAATTGATTGAGTAAAATAAATTGAATAAGATTACAAAGTCAAGATTCAGGCCCACTAAATAATTGGGATGGTCCTTATTTTTTGTGGGTGGGTCAAAGATGGCATATGCCTTGAGGCCCCCACAGTAATGTTCACACTGATATATTACAAGAGAGTGACAGAAAATTAGAAAAGAAAAAGACTCAATTTATAATTGGGTAACAAAATAAATTGATTTCAACCTCTACTGCCTTGACATATTTCAGAGTAGACTCTGATGACAATAAACTATGGTGGAATAAAGATTTCATCTCCAACGGCAATCTGCCCATAGAGAAGTTCAAGAGACAGATTCATAGTTCAAACTGTCTAAAATCGGGCATGCGAAAGTGCAGAAACTTCCTTGATAAGGAATGAGGAGCTACTATACAACCTGCGATACCTTGCAGGCGATAACATCCAGCTTGCAACCGTCTTGTTCTTCGGAAGGAATAGTGTGATTGGGTGTCAGCATCTACAGAATTGGCTTCAGTGGTCATCTTCGTCCAATCCAGGGCATTCACCTGAGAGTGCTTCCATTGATTCATACTGAAGTAAGACAGGGTCATGACAAAGAAATTGATTAGGAATACTGGAACAAGTAACTGTCCTTGTATACGAAGCTTTCAAGCTCCAGGCTTGAAGAGTAGATTAGAAGTAACATAAACGATAATACATCCAATTTACCTGAAATCCACAGAAGAGGCAATATAGATGTTCATCTCTCAATTTCATCAATATATCTTGCAAATCCTGCAAACAGTGAAGCAAAAGCATAATTGACAGTCTTGCAGTAATAGAAGATTTAAAAATTCAGCTAGGAGATTCAAAGCTGGATTGATGATTCACCGCTTCAGTATGTATTGGGAAAATCAACCAATGAAAGCACGAGTATCTTACAAATAAGCAAGTGAATGGTACTCAATTCTTCTGAAAAATCATTCACTTAAAAAACAAATCTAATGATACAAATTCAACCAGCTACCCTATCAAATTTTAAAAGTCATGCACAAAAGCCATTGCCAGCAACAGTGCAAGTGCAGTAAGGGCAATACCAATTCAACTTCTAAATAATCACTAAAAGAGAGTAGAAAAAAATAGTCTCCATTCCCTAGAAATCAATGAGCTGTTCAGTGTAAATTTGTTCCACAACCAAATCATTCCAAGAGGAGAGGCAATAAAAGCTAAGGTTTGTGGAGATTGAAATTTTTATGGAAAACCAGTGCGAGGATCATACCTCTTCTGTTATCTCTTCCTCTTCCTCTTCATCCTGCTCGCCATCCTCATCCTCTTCATTCTTATCTGGCACAACTTCTTTGTTCTCCAGTTGATCAAGAGCTGCCTTCGCCTTCTTGAAATTTACTGCAATTCTACGAGCTTGCCATTGTGACTTTTGCCTAGAGCCAAAATCCACCATCAGAGCCTCTTCTTTCCTCCTTTTCCTCTCTGCCTCAATCTCCTCTCTCTTCCTCTTCTCCTTATGTGGGTCCTCCCGACCAATCCCAGCTCTTGACCGACGTATTTCAAGTCCCACTGGCTCAGCCCGACCTAAGCCCTCTTTCCCAATGGCTGAGCCTGGTGTGTAACCCATTTGTTTTAATAACTTGAAGCCTATGTTAGATTGTGGAATCGGAGCTTCTAATCTCGCTAATGTCTGCTCATCCTCTTCTATTTGTTTTCTCTCTCTTTCAAGTTTTCGCTGTTCTTGCCAGCTAAGGATTTTTGATTTCTTTTTAAATGACTGCTCACTATTTTTTTCATTGGAGCTCTGCAAAGAATTGGATTTCATGCACTAATGAACCAACAGCACAAGCATAACAAAAAAAAAAAAAGAATAAAACCTAGCATGATCCTCAGTAGATTCCATGTAAATATATGTTTGATAAACTTTAAGGTAAGTATCTTAATCCTCATAATCATTCAAGTAAATCAGGAGAGTTCCGTTATCAAATAGATCATTCTACAAAACAATAAAGAAAAAGTAAAATAGTTTTCCTGCCTTCTTCCAACTTCATAGAGTTTCGAGCCTCTAATTGACTAATTGCAGTACTTAAACATTAGGGTTTCTTCTTCCTGGCAAAATGACTGTAATGAAAACAGTGTTTACTCCTTTCCAACAATTAGCGCTACAATTGGAAATATTCCAACAGAAACAAATTAACCGACTAACAGAAACACCATGTATGCCCTTTCTTCTTCGTAAATTCAAGGCGACCAAACGGTAGAACTTTTCACATATACATGAGAACTCTTTTAGCTCTTTGAATTTCAAAATCCCGGTTAAAATGTGTAACTTATGGTCATTTTGGAGCTCAGAGTCTAGAAAAAGAGGAAAAAGCTAGAAATTTATGAAGATAAAATAAATACAATGACTGGTTTTGAGGATTTTATTCAAGATTAATCAAAGAGAAGCAACCAAACAGGACTTCGAAGAAACTAACCTTCTTTGAATAGAACTTCTCGGGAGGATCAGATGCTTCGGGCGGTAGAAACTGAGAGAGGTCACCCATATAATCTTCTTCCTCTTCTTCACCATCGCCGATTTGGTTCTTCCTCCATTCAGCCATCGGTGAGAGTTCTGACTGGCGGGAGAGGGTAAAGAGAAGACGGAGAAAGAGAATACACAGGCCGACAGGGGGACTGTTAATGGGCCGATATATTTTAAACTAATAAAATTTAAAATATAAAATAATTAAAATAGGATTGAAGTAATATATTTTAAATTTTATTAAAATTTTGAAATGCAATTTCCCAATTTTATTAATTAATTAAAATTTAATTTTACAATTTTTTCAATTATTTTTATAATTTATTATATTTTTTAAATTAATGGGCAAATTTGCGCCAATATTTTTATTGTTTTTAAAATTTTAAGCAACTAACGTGCGCGCTATACAGTAACTATAACTGCTGACGTGGACGGGAGGTGTATGTCACGTGACCCTTCTCCCTCTAGAAATTTCAGTTGGAGCAGCATCTATGCAGCTTCTGTTGGGAGTGCCAAGTCCAAAGCTCGGTATGCTTTTGCTTTTCCATTTTCCCGCCTGTTATTTTTCTTCTTCTTCTTCTTCTTTTCACCTTATTTTCCCGCAAACCAAACACTCTCTCACAGCATGCCGTTTGTTTGTTTCTGTCCGGCATTTCTCTCTTCACGGAGTTCTCTCTGATGCTTTTCTCTGCGTTTTCTAGGATGTTCTCATTCTTGAGGAAAATGGCCAGGCGGTTTCCGCGTTTGTATCTCTTGGTGATTGTTTTCTTTGAAGTTCTTGTTTCAGAGGCTCGGGCTTTTACGAATCCTTCTGACGGTTAATCATTTGAACTTTCTTGACATTGTTCGACTTATCTGGAAAAACTGATACATGCTGCACAATCTAGGGGAAATTAGTTTATTGCATTGTCCTTCTCTGATCTGTTTAGTTGCGCGAAAAATAGAGATACTGATGGAAATTAGGATTTGAACTTGTGACACAAGTGAAAGGTTACCAAATACGAAGTAGGAAAGAAATTTGGTTTTTTATTTGCCAGGGGATAAAAAACTTAAAAGCTAAAGATTCAGGGTCCTTTCCATTTAGTCGATTTCCCGGCGATCAAAGATAGAGATAGGAAAGCGTCTTCTTTCACTCTTTCTTTACTCAGAAATTATGGTGGGAAATTCGGTTAAGAGGAAATTTTTTGACGGGGATATAATATAACCGTGTTTTAGATGCTGGCATTTCTGCATGTTCAATTAATTGTCCGCAAATCGCACAATCCTTAATGTATGAGCTTATGGTACCTTTATAAAATCAAGCATTTCCAATGGCAGAACCCACCGTTACTGTCAAGAATGTGTAATAGTTCACAGTGCCTTACGTGTATGCCCTCTAAACCCCAAATATTAAGGCTTCTCATCCACAATAAGGCTAAAAATTTATAATCTAGAGTAGCACCATGGTTTCTTGAACTACAAGTAGGTATAACATCAATTTACTTTGGTTTTGGGAGCCACTTCAAAATCTTGATCATGATATTGTGAAATTCAAGTAGGATTAATTGTCAATTTGCACAAGATTTCTTACGTAAGGCTCTCCCTTTGTGCAGTCACAGCTCTTCAAGATCTGTACAAGACACTGAATAACCCACCTGAGCTGAAGGGATGGAAATTGGATGGGGGGGATCCATGTGAGGAATTATGGACAGGAGTGTCATGTGCCGGTTCATCTGTAATCCTCCTGTAATGACCATTAGGCACCCAAAGATCACCTAAAATACAATCATCTCATATAACAACTACAACTAATTTGTTCTTGTACGTTATGCAGTCAACTTCATGGATTAAACCTTCATGGGTATCTTGGCGGCCAGCTCCATAATCTCCACAACTTAAAGCATATGTAAGTGAATTTGCTGTCTTATAAACTTTTATCCGAAATTCTGTTGTTTGATAGAATGCACTAAGTTGGCTTTTTTCCTATCAGGGATGTTAGCTTCAATAGCATTATGGGTGAAATTCCATATGGCTTACCACCAAATGCATCTCATATGTAAGATTGTCAAAGACATTCTAGACTTACTGGTTGAATTCCTTGTGAGTTAGACAAACATATTTTAAGTGGGTTTTTTTTTTCCGCAGAAACATGGCATTCAATAATTTGAGCCAAAATTTACCCCACTCTTTACCAACTATGAAATATCTTCGGTATCTGTGAGTAACTTGTGCGCTAGCAGCATATTTTCTTAGTATCAATTTGCAGATGTGAAACCATGAACTCAATCTTTTTTCTTCAGGAACCTAAGCCACAATTTGTTATCTGGACCAATTGGAGATGTGTTTACTGGGCTGCAGATAAGAGAGATGTATGTTTCTTCAACTTCTCTCTTCATATTTTGGCATTTGAAGCAAAATGAGGCCCTTAATTTGACGTTTTAACATAAATTGCAATTGCTATGGATATCTCTTGTAGATCTCGTAGCTGCTAAATTCTGAATTTCCATTGAAAGGAAAACAAAGGCCATTCTCAATCATCTTGATTGAATTAGAAATAATACTCCTTGCTCATAACTTTGACTATGAAGAAACTATTCCTTGACTGTTTGGATAACTCAATATGAGAGTGAAGATGGTTTTCAGGATCAATTTGTGGTTTATTATTTAGTCGAGAGCAAATAATCATAATGCTTTCTGAATGGATGGAAATATGATCTAATTAAGGTGTCTATACACATAAGAATGGGCATCTGCAATGTCTTCCAATCTGTATATTGCCATAAAATTTCTTGTATAATTCAGTTCTATCATGATTACTCACAAAATTTAATTTTCTGCCACAGGGATCTATCATTCAATAACTTCACTGGAGATTTACCAATCTCCTTTAGATCTCTGATAAATCTTACTGCACTGTGAGTTTCATCTACATGTTCCAAATTTGCTTGTTAGCTTGTTGCATGCCAAATTCTGCAGTTCATAGATCATGTGAATCCCACATGCTGTTTGTGCATAAAATTAGGTTCCTGCAGAACAATAAATTCACTGGATCAGTCGTCTACCTTGCTGATCTTCCCTTGATTGACCTGTAAGTTCCTCTGTGCTGCATCTTTTATGCAATTTATTTTGACATTTTTCATCGTCTTTATAGTTGATTGTGTTCAGAAATATTGAAGATAATGAATTTAGTGGTGTTATTCCGAGCCAGTTTCAGTTCATTCCCCACTTATGGTAAGTGACTGAAATGTCACTTGTGATTTCCTCTTATTTTCTTGCAAGGACCATATCATAGGCTGAGCAGTGTTCTGCTTCACTTGACAGGATTTGGGGGAATAGGTTCGACAAGGTTGGCAACCATCAACCTTGGAAGTTCCCTTTGAATGTTATACCCCTTAAGCACAATATTAGCAATCTCCCAACAACTGAATCAAGTGTCATTGAAAACTTCCCTGCTAAGAAAGGTGGAAGCAAGAAGAACAAAATCGGGTCTAAAGGAATAGCTGGTTTGGTTGGTGGATTAGCAATAGTTGCAACCTGTACTGTGTTATTCATATCGATCCGCATCAACAGAGCCCGTACGGAAAAATTTAACAGCTTTCAAGGCAACAATACCACACTGCATTCTCTTCCACTAACTAGAATTAGAGGTGAGAACTCTTAATGACACCTACATTTATTGTCTAAGTAAACCTTGACCTCTGTGGTAGATAGAATTTATTATGTTTAAGGTGTTCTGAGCACATTAACTGCATATGCTAAGAAATTATAGAAATCTAGGATTATATTTTGAATACATGCTCATTTTATGAACAATTTGGTTATAATGAATTTATGGTATAGCAGGCATTTTAATATTCTAAAACAGTTTAAGTTATTGATATTTTATTCGCTTTCCATGATCTAGACCACAGTTCTACACCACCAGAAGAAAGCCCACAATATTTCACTACTCAGCCTCCACCAGTTCTCAGACAAAGAAACATGCTTCCTACTTTCCCAATCAGAATGGAGAAAACACCTAGACGAAAAAGTTTCTCCAGCAAAAAGTTCCTGGCTAGGGTGAAATTTTACTCACTTTCTGAGCTTCAGTTATCTACTGGAAACTTCAACGAAGGGAATTTTCTCGGAGAAGGATCCCTTGGTTCTGTGTATAGAGCTGAGTTATCTGATGGCCAAGTATACACTCTTGCTATTTCTTGCTTTCCAAATGACAAACGGGTTTCATGTACTGAGCGTCCTTTGGTTGTTTCTTTCTTCTTCGGCAGATTTTGGCTGTAAAGCACATCAACATGGTGTCACTGTCTTTCCAAGAAGAGGAGCAATTTATGGATGTGATTCAGTCAGTATCGCAGTTAAGGCACCCAAATCTTGTAACACTTCTTGGCTTCTGTGTAGAACGTGGACAACATCTCCTGGTTTATGAGTATGTTAGAAATTTATCTCTTGATGATGCTCTGCACAATCATGGACAAAATCCATTGCCCTGGGCCCTCCGTCTCTATATTGCTCTTGATATTGCTAGGGCCTTGAAGTAAGTACTCAACTCGAACTGACTTTACGGAAGAATAATTAAACACCTTGTCAGGGAGAAGTAAGCTATTCAATGCATCAAGCATCATTCTGAAAGCTCATGTTCTTTTGAAAATATGAACTACATTAAAATTGCTATACTTCAGAATCTTCTCATTTTAGACCACCATGAGAATCAGGGCATGCTGCTTTTCCTATAAGAATGTGAGTTCTGGAAGTAATCTCCATTTCCAAAATGATATTTTCAGCTATCTGCACTCTGCGTTCTCTCCTCCTGTTGCTCATGGCAACTTAAAGGCTTCAAACATCTTACTCGACGAGGATCTTGTGCCTCGTATCACTGATTGTGGGTTAGCAATTTTACGGCCACTTACAAGTAATAGTGTCAAACTCAAGGTAAGCTTCTGCATAGAACGTTTTTGCAACTGGGCAACATTTACTCGTTCCTGACTGCAGTTGACTAATCTTTGTTGTTAGTATCCCCTTTCAAACGCCATACACCAAGAGAACCTTTTTGGAACAACATTTCCGCGTTTCTTACATAAATTGGAACAGATATATTATAAATTTTACCTTTTCCACACATGATAATAAGCTATTGATTTCTTTTCATAAAATGGTTATGAGATTTCGCTGAATTGCAGTAGATGAAACTGACTAATTTCCTTGCTTTTGAAATCTGATACAAAACAGGCTTCTGAAATTGCTATTAACGACACTGGGTATGTTGCACATGAACATGGGCAACCAGGAGATGATTGCACAAAGAGTGACACATACTCCTTCGGGGTTTTGCTTCTGGAATTGCTAACCGGACGCAGACCTTTTGATAGGTATAAACATAATCTATGGCCCAATTTCTTTTTTCATTTACAACTGAGAGCATATTTCTCTATTATGGATTTGTTTAATTCGTATAACTCAGTTCAAGACCAAGGGAAGAACAGTCACTAGTGAAGTGGGTGTCATCCCGGCTTCACGACAGGGAGTCTTTGGAACGGATGGTTGATCCACGTATTACATCAAAACCATCACCAAAGGCTCTCTCCCGGTTTGCTGATGTCATCTCTCTCTGTATTCAGGTATTTCAGCACTTATCACTAAACAAATCATCTTGCATAACAAGTATCTGAATTTGTTATTATAGTTTACTTAATAATAAAAGTCATCAATCACAATTTAATTTAATCATCGGTACATTCCTTCCTTTGTAAGAGTTCATGAATTCTAACTGGATTATACTTTTGTATGTGTAATCATTTAGAAATTATTTGGATTCTGTTATATGGCTTCAAACTGATGAAACCGAATTGTCTGTGGGTGAATTAATGACAGCCTGAGAAAGAATTTCGACCACCAATGTCCGAAGTAGTGGAACATCTGATACGTCTGCTACGAATTCCTACCATCGCCAAAAGGAGCGCTGGAGATGGTATTGAAGCTGATCCTTTTGAGAGGTCTTTCTGTTCAGCCCACACCAAATTCATTGACTCCCCTGAAATGAACTATTTCTCTGTTTGATCTCAGAACTGGTTTTCCTGTAAAGCAACTTTCTTTCTCATGTAGTTGAATTCTTAGCATTAGAAATGTTGCTCGTTCCTACATCCAGCTAATTTTTTTCTTCTTATGGTTTTTGCAGATATTCAACTGAATGGGATAATTGTCTGCCATAATCAGGGTTGGAAATCTGAAGCTCATTTGAACAGTTTATCTTGTCAAATGCTGGCACCTAATGCCTCAGAGATCTATTCTCACAGATCTCTTCGGGATATTTTGAATTCTTTTTTCGTGGATAGGAAGTTTCGTACAGTCATGTGATTACTAGTGTCCATTAAGAATGTGAGGAAGCAGGATAAGATTTTGAGTTCTTCTGCATAATATGTACCGAGCAACTAGTTGATACCCACTTCTCTAGCCGGTGTCTTCGATCTACCCAACCACCAGTATTCCATCACATGTTGGTGTAAACAACATTATACATGTTTTTTAGTGATAGTTGTCAGCTTATCTCTGCGTATTTTTTGTATATTGAAAGTTCCGCTTCTGCCATTACATAGATAATCTACGGAATTAGGGATCCTCAATGAATATCGTTGACATAATAGTAAGAGCTTAAACCATGTATATGTCTTACAAATAAAATGCTTATTTATTACAAATACTAACATTAGAAATAAGAAATCAAAAGTTATTAACTCCTATAAGTTAAAAGATCTGTCCTTCAATATCTGACCCTGAGGATTTTTAAGCAATTGATTACACGAAGTTTGCATCAAATGAAAGAGCCATCATCTAGGGCATACAGTTTTACTCTTTCACATTATGAAAATAATAACCGCAAACATTTTGTAGTAGAAATTACAAAGAACGTAAAAATGCATTAGAGATGTAAGATTTGTAATAACTACCAATTTTATAAGAAGAAAATTGTCAGTATATTTACAAAGAGCAGTTAAAAATGCTGCCTACCACTTTATGAGCCTAAGTGATTACCTTCACAGAAAAAGTAATTTTCTACAAATAAAACAAAGTCAAATATAATATACGCATATGCATGTGTGTGTATATATATATATATAGTAATTCATATCAACTCCTTGTTTTCTTGATATAAACGGACTGTTAAATCTGGGGAAAAGTCCAGATTTAATAAAAAAAAATGGTGTACCAAAAAACACCCAAACTAAAAGAGGTTTCCATGAAAGATGATATTTCTTGATTTCCACTAGCCACTTTCTGAATCTCATTCTGCCATTTCAATTATAATAGTCCTATTCCTACATAAACATTTCCTCCACAGTTTTAAGCAGACAAACCACTGTTCAACAAGGTATTGATTTCTCCGATTATATTGACAGGTCTTCCATCAAACATGGATGAAAGTGTACTCTCACATAACTTTTTCAGCTCCCTGGTTCTTGCAAGAGATGCTTCCTGCAATTCCGAGGTGGGACTCACTTAAACCATTACAATCATTCGTGTGAATAAAAAGGAGGAAATGTACTTTGCTACATAGTTTGTCAGCTGAGGAAGAAAGAGACTGCAATTTAGGTGAAATTTACTTCAAGGTTGTGTTTGGTTCAATTCTCATTCAATTCATAGTAAACTCTTAGTTCTAAATAGTCTTAATGTACATAATTGAACCATAATATCTGGTTTTCATTATTTCAAAAAAAAATAATAATAATATCTGGTTTTGAATGACCACCACCCTGCTTTAAGTTTTAATACACATAATTGAAACACAATATCTGGTTTTGAAATATCACCTCCCCACTTCTAATTCTTTCATAACGAGATTCCAAACCCCCAACTTGAGATGGGAATTGAACAAACAGAGAACACAAAAAATATACCGAAGATCTTAAATCAAGTGATATAATTTACTTGTAATTTTGTCCTTGGAATAAGTAAGGAGGTTTAGCTATGGCTTTAAAGTGGGAGGGAGTAGAAAAAGGTAAAGACCACATAATCAACCTTGTGGATCTCATTCCTATTTTGTGGGCAAAAGTGTGTGATTCAACTTGGAAAAGAAAGGAAGGGCACAAAAAAAATTGGAAAACCGTGTTTTACGTCAAGGAAAAGTACCTGCTTCGGCCACAAGGAAGATAAAGAATTTTGAAGCTCCATGCGTTTAGTTGCAATGTCCTTCAACCCCTCTCTTAGCTTGACCTCGTGATGCCTTTTTTCCTCCAAGGTATTCACTAGTCTGTCTAGAAATCTGAAACTCAGCTCCAGGAGAGTAAGTAGCATTCAACAATCACAATAAATAGCTTGACCAATAAACAGAAATATAATGAACAAAATTAGTCAAGCAATCTCCACTTTAAATCCAAATACTGGTAAAGAAGATAAGAAAGAGATATTTTTATCAAAAATCAAGACATGTATGATCAAACGATAATTAGAAGTTTGTGCAATAAGAAACAAATTATTTTATTATAAGTCAGATATACATAATGATATGTAAATGATGAGAAGGCCATGCAAGAGCCTTCAGCAGAATATCTCGTTCTTCGTTCTAGAGCAAGATCCTAATATTCTCATTTTGGCAAATTCAATTATGTTTCCCAGGTGAGTAGTTATTCTGTGACATGAAATGGCAAGTAGTTGATTTATGCTAGTTCGGTCATAACTATTTGATGATAATCTTGCCTTACTAATTGTCATGGTTATCAGCAATTCAAATAGATTCTACCAAATACCTAAAGTAAATGAGTTTTACAAGATAATGTGTTCTTGTTTTAACCCTGATTTAAGAGTGACTTCTATAATGTATCTTATTAGGTCCATATTTCAGAACCAAATATCAAAGGAAAATTTTATACTTCAGAAAGCTTTCAAGAGAGGGGGGGATAGTGGGGTGGTGGCACTTGGGAGAACCTTTTTGAGTTGAGAATCATGATTAAATCCCGAGTTTTCTTATTTGTAAGCAAGGAAATGGCTGAGGAAACATCATGCAACATTGTCTCAATGATATCTGGAGTGTGTTGCTGTAGCACCAAGGGAGCAACGGCTTGGACTTGATGTTGCAAGGAAAGAGTCTCTTCATTCCTCAACTCTGCTAAACGTTGATTCAGAAATGCTTTGATCTGACACATAGTATCAAGAAAAAAGTCAACCTTGATACAAAAATTGACTTATCATATTGCAGAACCAAAAAAAAGAACTAAGAATGTTGTTGAAGGATGTTTTAATCCTAGTTGTTCTCTGTGACATAGTTTCTCATAGAAGCAAAATCTAAGTGAATTAGCAGATGAAAAACAAATATCTCTTCTCGTCTGTTGTCACAGATATTCTAATACAAGTTATGAGACACAACAATATGATAGAGCAGCAAATACTCATATAAATCATCAAGAATCTTATTCCGGTAATCTGTCTCCAACAGCTGGCTCCTCTCTCCCCTTGTTCCTAGGGTTGGAGACAAGGTATCAGTAACACATGTCTGTTCTTCCAGGCCTATATTGTGCAAATTGGCATCGTCAACAATATCTATTTTAGACGTTTCAACACTAATATCCCACGAAATCTCAGACACAGTTTGATCCAATTTCACAGTTTCACTAGATGAAATATTCTCTGGGATCTCACTGGCATTAACAATTTCATATGGCCCCAAACCATTGCCACTATCATCTGCTTCAACTAGTGTACCAATATCCCAATCAATCTGAGCACTGTCAACAGTAATACCCCAATCAATACCGTCTGCAGCATCATCCGTGTCCCCTGCTACATGGTCTTTTTTATGAGAGCTTAACTGAACATTCTGAGTATCAAATAACTCAATTGCCACAGAAACAGATAAAGATGGGGGATTTTCACGCATGTCTTTGAGATTCAGTAGCACAGTCCTCGAGGATTTCTGCGATTTTAAGATAAACCAAAAAGAACTTGTCACAACAATTCAAACCAGTATGAGGTTGTAGTAAAAATTGGGAAAAGAGAGCTACAAGTGAATGAATCTAGATATCAAGTGACAATTCAAAAATTAAGCTAGCAACTTACATCCTTCTCTGTGTGAACATCTTCGACAAAATTAGAATAGAACTCCATGGCTTGTGATATAGAATCACTGTTTAGAACTTCAAGAATCTTGCTAAATGTATTGGGAAGTGAATCTGCAGTCTCCAAAAGTTCAAGCCTTACATTTTTTCCCTGCAAAGTCAAATAATATTTATGCATTGCTTGCAATACAAGCCATAGACAAAGTTAACCCTAAGTGGAACGGACATGTTAACCTGCAAGCCAAGCTCTTGACAAGCCTCAGCATATTTAGTTGCTGATAAAGCAGCACTTCTTTTAATATCAGTTTCCCTACGCTCAAGTTCTGCAAGTTGCTGCTGGATCTTTTGCACCTGCTTTCTCTGATATGGGCTTCATATTTGGAAGAAAGAATGATCATCAATAAAACCGAATGCAGTTGCATTATATAAATATTCTTTGGCCTTCATACTGAAGCTTACAAGCTCGAAAGCAGACACTTACATTTCATAGTTTACATTCTGCACAATTATTTGAGCCACCTCACCGAGGTAGATATGATCCTTCTCAAAAGCACGCACTATAGCTTCCCAAGCACCCTATAGGACATTAGAGAACTTCAGAAATTCTTGCAACCATCTAGGTATATGTGTGTGAGTTTCTATATAGATAGAGGGATACAGCCAGACAGAGACTGTTATCTTACAGCAGCTCCTGATAGCCGACCAAATATATTCCGGCTTTCCGAAGAAGTCTTCAGAAGGATCTCATATAATTTTTTAGCCTCCAAGTAATCAATCCCTTGAAGCAGTGTGACAATCAGCAAACAAGTAGAAAAATAATGATAAGAAAACAATTTGACATATATTAATGAATCCATCTCTGTTTTTAATTCAAAAAGTTATACAAGAGATAAATTATTAGATAAAGTTCTATTCCCATCTTTCCAATAGAATGTCACCAAAATCCCTTTCTAAAAGCCATGAATGATTCAACAAGCACTACATACTCCCATATAAATATTTTCCTTGATGAAATGAAAAATAATTCCAAAAGGAGTTCTCGACAAAAATATCATTCTTTAAGAAGTAAGAAAGTCTTGGTTAGCCTCATTGTATCCACATAACATAGTTTTTCTAAACATACTAGCGTGCATTTTGCACTTGATAAATGATGATTATCGTGCAGTGTGAGAAGTTAAGTCCAACTAGCATTTCTATATATCTATAGAGCAGAATGCCATGGCTCATGCAGGCATGATAGGAGAAGGCCCTTGACCCGTATAGAACAGCTTCAACATGTCTAACAAATCATTCAAAGCAAAGAAAAAGAGAATAATTCATGCTCTTTTAAATCTAATACACCTTGGTCAATTTCCATGGACAACAAAACAGGTCAGAAGTTTCTTTTCTGCAACCTCGTATCGTCTAAAATGTGTTTTTTTTTTCCTTGTAGAATTTACACAGCACACCATTTTAACATATATACAGGATACTTAGAAAATCATTTTCGCAGTATAATGGTAATTTCCGATAGTATCCATGATAAACTATAAAATTATCAAAATCTAAAATCCAATACATGCTAAAATAAACGGAAAAGATAAGAGTTCACAGTTACATTGAAAATCAAAAACTAACCTTCAGCATCTAGGGTATGAAAGTAAGGATCAATATCCTTAGGCAAAGATGTGAACTCCTTCGAGATTCTAGCTCGAATCACGGCCACTCGCTTTCGCCAATCCGCTGGTATTCTCTTCCGATCAACCAACCATTCTTCGATTTTAATAAATCGAATTAACACCGGAATCACATGCATAATGTAAAATTAATTAAACAGACAAAACACAATCGAATTTGCACAATCATGCATCAGTGCGCGAGAGAGATACCTCCAAGACGAGAGTAGGTGATATCGATTGGAAGATTGCGAATGTCCTCAGGAGTTTGCATTTCCGGGAAAATGTTTGGCCTGCAGGAAAATTGCAAGAGAAATCAAGGATTTCAGTTTCAAGTGAGGTTGGTTTGTCTCGGTTTTTCGTTTTGCTCTCCAGTCTCGAGTCTTGACTACCGGGAAGTAGAAACGGATCAATCAACCGGGTCGGGTTATAATTTATGAACAATTGTGGGCCTGGCCCATAACAAGCCAACTCGGATCGAGCCTGTCAAATTAAATGGGTTAGACTCCGAACCAAAACGACGACGGAAAAGTAAAGGCTGCAAGGGTAATATTGTAAATAAAGGATATTATTTTTCATTTTCTTTTCTAATTTTTTGTTCCCGGACCCTCGAGAATTCAGTGCTGTAATTAGCTGACGAGCTTCGACGAACATCGCCAGTGTGCTCCTTACCTTGTCTGCTTCGCGCAAATTTATCAGAAGGTATCTATTTCTCCATATCATTATATAAATTTTTTTCTTTGTTATGTCGATTATGAAATGTCCTCTGAATGGGGTTAACTATTCCATCTTGTGACCTAGTTGATTGGTTCTTCAAATCACGTTCAAGTACTTAGGGTTTTATTTCAATCTAGATCTTCTTTTTTCTTGCGCAATTGGATCTGCTTTCCATTTTTTTTCATGGTTTTCTTTTTTTTTTTTCTTCGAGGAGAACACATTGTTGGAATTCGATTAAGAGTTTTGGATATTTGATTTGGGCATTGATTTCGGCGTCATTTCGCTAATTTTGTAATTTTATTTTTTATTTGTAACTAAATCAGAATGGTTTTAATTTTTGCTTCCTGTTAGTGATAAATTGGTAGTCTTAGAGTAATGAGTATAATTTATTACAAGAACAGTGTTGTGTTTTCTTTGTATTGTTATACTACAATGGGATATATGATAAAGATCCGAAGTTCACAGAGGAAGGCCAAACAGAATCTGAGATATCTGGATGACTGATCAACCCAGCTACTCCACACAGGCTGCAACAAACAGAGGAAGAAATTTACCCAAAAACCACAGACGAGCTGCTATCCACTCCAGAATTTCAGCATCAGCATTTGTTTTTTTGAATTCCTTTTGATTTACTTGTGTCTTCTGTTCTTATCTAAAATTATCCGGTCAGTTGTACTCATGCCTATTTAAAAGTCTCGATATTCATCAATAAAGCAATTAAGAAATGCAAAAACTTTCTCTGATCTTTTCTCACCTAAAGTAGAAAATCTTACTTGAGTGTGAAGCTCTGACTGAGACTTATTAGTGGTATTAGAGTTTGGCTAAAATGGCATTTAACAAGGAACGTATTGAGAATCTCGAAACTGGTCTCAGTGCTTTGCAAGACCAAGTTAGCCGAATAGAGATTGACATTGCTGACAAACTCCAAGCCATCAAAGAAAATCTCCAACGATTGACGGAAGCAATTGTCTCCTTACAAGAAGGCTTTAGCAACCACCAGGTACCGCATGTCAATCCATCACACCCCGACCCTGCGATCAACGATATCAGGCGGGCCCCTTTCTTTCCCAGAACAACTAAGCTGGAGTTCCCCTACCTTTTCCGGATGAGACCCAACCGAGTGGCTGAGTCGAGCCAGTCAGTATTTCGACTTCCAAGGAATTGTTGCGCCACATCGGGTGGCTTTGGCATCCTACCACCTAGAGGGCGAGGCCAACCAATGGTAGCTGTGGGCGAATTGCATCTACAGAGATGAAGGATTGACATGCGGTACCTGAACACTGAAGGACGCCATTGGGCTGGCCCGCGTTTGAGAAGAACAAGTGGGTCGGCAACATAGATCAAACCGAACGGGATAGGTACAACCCGTTTCGTCCTTACCCGAGCAACCCTTCTGTGCCCTAGTTTCCACTACCGCCACCCAAAAGTGTCGCTCTTGGGAAGAAATACAGCACCGGCAAATCCAGAGCTTATGTTTTAATTGTAATGAGTGATTCACCGCTAGCCACCGATGCTGAAAGCCACAATTGCTCTTACTCGAAGAAGGACAGAGCGACAACGAAGAGGCAAAAGTTGGTGAACCCAAAATCCCGCTACATACCTTCATCGGTTGGACTATTACCCACATCATGAATGTCGAGGTCTTTAAATAGGTATGAGTACAACTGACTGGATAATTTTAAATAAGAACAGAAGATACAAGTTAATTAAAAGAAATTCAATAAAACAATTATTAGTGCTGAAATTCTGGAG